CTCTGCTTTCTTCCATCCAGGCAATCTTCTATCCAATTTGCTAACTTATTCCCCACACCTATAGATATAACTTTTTTACAAGCCTTTTATGTGGCACCTTGTCAAATCTACACCCTTACCTTAATCTGATTTCTAATTAATTATTTTAATGAAAAATTTAAATAAAACAATTCAAATATTTAAATTAGTTTGAGGATTATAATGCAACAAATTAAGTACAGTTCATATATACATAAAACTAAACTGTTTTCATAATTCAATTTACAGAATTTGTTTCATGATCCATTTGATATATTCATGCAAAAATGTGTTTTAGCAAATATGCTGTAAAATGATTTATTTTTATTAATACCAACCATATATCACAAAATCATTAACTACATTTATTCTGCCTGTATGGCACTTGGATATCTAAAAACATAAAATCCACCCAAACACTCTTGGAATCTTTAAATGTTAACTAGAAACAACACATACAAGTGAAACACTATAATTAGTGTTTTTTTTTATTTCAAATGGAAAGAGAATAAGGTTCCAATAGATTTTGATTAAACATTTAAGTTACTTTGTTGTATTAAAACATTTCAATTTCATAAAATGTTAACTTTTTAAATATATTATTTCTAACATATGCTATGGTGTTCTTCTTATTTCATCATTTTATTACAGCCAACTGACCAAGTAACTAGACATTTAGTTATTTTATATCTTACTTTTTAATAAAAGTTTTTTACAATGTGACATTATAAGTTATGGATGTATCAACTGCAAAATTCGAAAATATTTCCTGAAACTTTAACACGCAGAGTTTGAATACTATTTATACATTAAGAAACTAAAAAATTTAATTATATTTCATTTATATTTTAAGACTATGGGGCAAAGTTCAAATGAAAACATAAGTTAGGAAATATAATGATGCACTATTGCAACTAACATGGGGTAACTTCACCCAACGATATGTTCGCAAGACTCTGTCTGTCAGACAAATCACCAATTCAACTTCTCCATCACCATCTAGAAAGTAAGAATGAAATCTAACTCATAAAAAAAATCTAAGTATATCAAGAATGTAATTCAAAATTTTTGATACAGATTTAATATACACAAAGCTAAAACAACACATTAAAATTATAAATTACATACACTATAAATATGTCATTAATTCTGAGTTATTTATATACTGACTGGTCACTTTATTAGGCCTTCCTCCACAAAAATATGTAAAATACACCATTTATTTGCATTTGAAAAACAGACTGATTATATGGTAGGTCAAGTGATTGCTTGAGTCTGATAAATGTAGAAATGTCTAAATAGTATGTCTGCAAGAAAGTGGGTTAAAAAAAAGGATCACTCTAACAGGACATGTTAACTTTTTTAATATATAATTTTAACATACGCTATGGTGTTTGTCTTATTTCATCATTTTATTACAGCCAATTGACCATGTAACTAGACTTTTAGTTCTTTTATATCTTACTTTATAATTACAGTTTTTTCCAATGTGACATTATAAGTTATGGATGTATCAACTGAAAAATTTGGGTGCTCATAGAGAAGAATGGATATTATCAAAATTATTTCATTGTTTGACTTGACTTATCAGAGACATTTGTCATCAAATTGTATAAACCAATGTAAGTGAAAATAAATACCTTTTCCACAAGGAAAAACTACACCTGCCAAATGCTGGTGATAGACCAAGAGAACAAATGACTGGATACACTTATAAGTGTTGTTAGAGCGCATCCCCCTGTCTTCATCACGAGAACCACTATTAGCAGCATCCAAGGTTCAAACCTCACTCAACATCATAACACAATGGTGCAACACATGGAGAGTCATACTGAATGCCTCCAAAACACAAGCTATACTGTTCAAAAGAAAGATCTCCCGCAAAAGCAAATCCCTCCCGAAAGTCAAAATAAAACTAAACGGCACGGAACTCCAATTCTCAAGGACCGCAAAATTTCTAGGAATCACGTACAACAGCAAATTAACCTGGTCAGACTACTTTAAAAACATATTAGTCAAAGTTTATAAATACATCCATTACTTGAAGAAGATAGGAGGCAGAATTAAAGGGTGCCGAGGGGTAACAATAATGAAAATTTATAAAGCATACGTCTGCCCAGTAATAGAATATGGTAACATGGTTACAGTAAATGCATCACAAACACAGTACGACATCATTCAAAGAGCCCAGAATCTAGCTATCAGAATAGCACACAGACTCCCAAGCTACACGCCTCACGCATACCTTGAAAAAGCAAGTAACATCCCCCACATCAGAGAACGTTTAACAACCCTCACAGATAAATATTACAAAAAATCAATAAACCAAACACCACTAACGAACCAGTTTGTATCACTTAAATTTATAGTAATATTAGAATATGAAATTTCAAATAAGATCATATACAATTTATCAAATCAGGGCCTAGAAATGTTGCATCACTGAGAAGTGAGATTGCCAACTTTAAGATTGATTAGGTAATGAAAAGGTTAATGTTCTGCATACAGGTGGGGGATGGGTCAAAGTACATGACATAACCTTTTTACAGAGTCACATTCAAAACTTAACAACTTTATTAGCTAAAAATATTAACAAACTTGGAGATAAAATATCATGTTTAGGTACAACAAAGAACCTATTAGTGCATAAAGACTGTCCTAACCTCTAAACTAAACTAAAATATTAAATATAAAAAAGCCCCTCAAAGTCAGCCCTTATACTACATATAGTTATCAAGTTTTCTCTTAAACTCACTTAAATTTACTGCCTGCACAACATCCGAAGGCAACCTATTCCAAAGGCCAACCAACCGGTTAGAAAAATAAAACTATCTCAGCTGAAGATGACTCCTACCCTGCCAAAATCTATTTGTCCCCTATTCCTACCATTAAGTATGAACACTTTTAATTCCTTTAACAATCTTAAACACCTCAATCTCCTCTAATTCTCTTTTTTTTTCGAGAAAAAACAATTTCAGAGATGTTAACCTCTTCTTGTATGACAACCCCCTCCAGTTTGCTGAAATCATTCTTACATGCTTGTATAAGACTATTTTTCTAATCAAGGATATAAAGATACCGAAATCAACAAAGAAATTGAAAAGGCTAACAACACTCAGCAGAAAAATATCCTAAATCAGAGCAATACTAAACTTTCCTCTTATTATTACCTCTCAGTTTAAACTCAGAAACATTTCACAAATTCTGAAAAAACATTTTCATCTCCTACATGTTAAACAGATATTTCCTGAAGTTCCCATTGTCTCCTTCCGAAAAATCAGAACTCTAAAAGATATCCTTGCTCACACAAAAGTGAATTACATCGCACCAAAAAATGGTTGTTGTCCATGTAATAAAGCCCATTGTCAAAACTGCAAGTTCATAAAAACCACTGACTCATTTTCTGACAAGTACAACCAAGAAACTTTAAAATATCCAAAGAAATCACTTGTGAAACAAAAAATGCCATTTACCTTATACAGTGTAAAAAAAAGCAATTACTAATATGTAGGACATACACAAACAACTCTTAGAGAACGTTTCAACAACCATAAATCTTCTGTTAACATTGAAAAAGATCTCGTTGCTCAACACTTTAACGAACCCGGTCATTCCATTAACGATGTTACTCTCATCGGGACTGAAACAGGATTCAAAACTAAACCAGATAGAGAAATAACAGAAGCTTATTGGATTGCTAATTTAAACACTGTTCAACCTTTCGGAATTAATCTAGATC